AAAAAGACCCCCACCCAAACACTCACCCCCACACCCCCACCCCCTGCAAGTGAAGCAGAAGTACTCTCAAAGAGCCTGGTGCACTTCTACATTGTACTTGTAAATCATCTTAACTGACATAGCAGTTATTTCCTGAAACAAGCTTAAGAAGCATGCCTCTGTCAAACACTCATGGTCCAGCCCTTGTGAGCAGGAGCAGTGTAGAGCAGTGCTGGCTCCTCTGTGGATATCTCTTGAAAGCCATTAATTTTTTACAAATAGGTCCTCCCATTCTTTCTGCACCTATTTCTTCTAAATTCAGTATAGCATGGCAAATTCATGTACAGTATAATTCTGGTTAATGATCACAGTTACACAGTAATCTCAAGTGGTCATGCACTGGTTTTGCAAAATAGAATTTACCATCATGTTCTAAAGAAGAACTTGCGTTTTTTCTGAGGTTTGAAAATTGCATTAAACGTTGTTTTTGTAGATAGCAAAGTCTGAGGCACCTGCTACAGTGATCTTTATTACTTAGAGGAAAGTATTTTCTTAATTTCCCATAATGGTGAGGCCCTGAGACTGCTCATTCTGAGAGAGGTCAACACATTTTTGGATGCTCAGGACTTGTGAGAACTAGGCCATTCTGTCTGGGGCCACTGTTTGACAGTAGACTGTAACTTTGGGCATCTATTTATTTAAAAACTGGTTTCAGTAGTAGATGGATGAGACACTTTTGTGTCCCAGCTGAGTTACAAAGTGTGTGTGCTTTCTGTGTGTGCTTGGCAGAGAGGCAGTCTGACACTGTTGCTGTGTGGAGAAAGTGGACTTGTTTCAGCTCTCGAGCAAGTGTTTCAGCATGGATTTAAATCGCCAAGACTCTTCAAAAATGTCTTTATTTGGGACTTTTTAGGTAAGTGGGAGGACAGCATACCAGAGCCTCTTTGTGTCTGAAATATATCTGTCTGTGTGCCTTTCCGTTGCTCTGTGTCCCAGCTGGTGTGAACAGCATACTTCTTGGAGGCATCTCGGCAGCTGAATTGCCATAAGAGCTCCTACCTCCTCATAGTGTTGAGAGAAGGAGCATCTGTCTTCTGACAAAGTTGGCGCTGTAGTTAATACAGTAACTGGACTTTGTCCTTCTAGCAGTAATTGTGTAAACCAAACTTTCTTAGTGAGGAAGAATTATTTAAATAAGGTGGTGAATTGACATATGGTAACCTTGTTCTTAATTGAGCATAGTGAAAGCAATAAATGACACTTCTAAGAGGTTGAGTTGCCTTATAAAGCACAACAGATGGATCTAGTGCTATTGGTGACTACTATAGCTAGTAGTGCTGTTACAACTGGACGCTGTAATAAAGGGGTTGCAAGCATATATTTTTCACACAGTGGTTAGATCCTTTGACATAGAGCTGAATAAATCAACTGAGTACACAAACACCTTTTAGAAAAGCAGTTAGTTTTAACAGTGGTTTTGTGTTTTGAGTAGGTACTTTGACATCACTCTTCATACATCAGCATTTTACTGTAGCATCTCAAAATTCAGTAGATACTAGAACCTCTTTAGCACTGTTCAGAGGGAAGAAAGTGTAATCCCAGTTTTACACAGGGGGAACACAAGACTGAATCAAACAAACAAAAAAAAATAATGCCTAAACGTAATCATTGAGGAAGTTCATGGATGAGCTTTGAATCTAGGCCTTTCAACTTTCTCTGTCCCGTCCGTGATGCAGACACTCATGCGTTATGGATTAGTAAGCATGCATATGGGGAGAGCATCATACTGAGGTAGTATTGAATTTGGTCATCTAAATTTGAAGGTCATCGTACCTAATTATTTTATTCCAAGCACAGGAGAGTGATATTTCAGATATTTCAGGACTGCTATATGCACTGATAAAACTTCATTATCTCCCAACATTCTTTTAAGAAAAAGCACAAACGTACTATGAGACCCTTGAGCAGAATGAGATGGTCCCAGAAGAGAACTGGCAGACAAGGGCCAGGAATTTCTGTCGCTTCATCACTGCTATCAACAACACCCCTAGAAACATTGGGAAGGATGGCAAGTTTCAGATGCTGGTGTGTCTTGGAGCCAGGTATAAACAAACTTTATTATTATTATTATTGATACTTTAATAAAATGAAATGGATGTTGTGTATTAGTAAGATAAAGCCATAGAACTGCTGGGTTGTGCAGTTTGACTATTACTTATATGGTTCCTTGGTGTAACCTTGATGTAACCACCTTGAAGGATCAGGTGAACCATACCCTGACTGGGAAATCTGGGGTGCAAAACTGGGTATCCCAAAGAGCTGAGCAACTGAATTGAGAGAGGAAGGTACTAGGATGGTGTGAATAGCATTCCTCTCATGTACAGCTAGCAAGGTTGGAAGATAGAAGTGGAAAACCGTCCATCAGTGAGGCCTCTCCGGTTCATGGCTGGGTGAATTCCCCACCCTCCACCTGCTCGTTGTAGGAGGGAAGCTGGGACCATCTAGAAGCCTCGTGACACAAAGACAGTGGAGCATGCTAGTGACTTAGGGGTTACTTGGGACTTCCAGGCCTCCTGGGAACCATATCTTTTGATGTGAGGGGTGGAAAGCCTAGGAACATGTCTCTCACAGATAGTCCCTACTTAAACAAGTTCCGCAGAGAGTTACTCCCCTTTCCCCATCTTATAAAAGTATGCGGAGAAGGTGGTAGGTCTGTTTGGAAGGCAAAGAATAAAAATCATGTCAGGGAAAATCAGAAATTAACTTGGCTTTATTTTTATTTTCAAACTGCAAATTGCCACTTTGTCAGAGACCACCTTTTGCACCACTGGATCGCCCTGCTTGCAGACTGCCCGATCACAGCACAGATGTATGAAGACATGGCACTGATTAAGGATCATACTCTTGTGAATTCTTTGATTCGAGTGCTGCAGACCTTGCAGGAGTTCAACATTACGCTGGAGGCATCTCTTGTCAAAGGAATCGATATTTGACCTCTTGTCCCACAGGAAAAACTATCTTTAAGAAAAAAAAAAGCAACAAAGAGTGAATCTCGTTCATATGCAAAAGTTCTGTCTGCCAGTACATTGTATTGTGAACTTGTTCATGGCCCTAAAATGCAACTTTGACTTTTCTTGAAGGAAACTCCAAAAATAGTACAGGCAAATGGATAGAAGCTGTAAAATCAATGTAAAAAAGAGGATTTTGGTATAAATCTATTTTAGAGTTTATTTGCTGATTTGCTTTTTACACACTTTCATGTGAAAGAGATAGAGATGGGTATTGTGCAGCTTATTTTAAAGCTGCAGTATTTCCTTGCCATAGAAAATGTGCAGTGAGCCTTTCAGCATTCTGTGAACTTGCCTTCAGATATGCTGTATGTCATAGACCCCAATGTATACACTCCATTTCTGCTGAGAAGGTCATTCTATAGTTTTTAAACTAATATTTTATATATTAACATTATTACTGATGTTTGATTTTTAACGTATTGGGTCATGTTCTGCTGCAAGGGAACTACAAATCTGATGTGTGCTTTTTTTTAATAGCTCCAAAGCACTGATTTGTCAACAAATCATTTTTCCTTTATTTTTGTTGTCAGTATTATTTTTAGTGAAATCCAGGAGACAAACCGTGAAATGTGCAGAAATCAAAGTAATATTTTTCATATTGGTACGTAATTGCACAGAAAAAATTAATCATGTTTTTTAACTGATGTTTTTATTTATTTAACCTATCATTGTGTTTTGTAAGTTTGTCTTTAAAAAAAAAATCTTCTATGATACAACTGGTTATATTATGTTGCAATTCAGAATTTACAGTGCAGCCCACTTAAATGAAAAACCTGGAATAATTGTTAATAACACAAAAATGTTTCCACTTGAACCAGCCTTTTGAAGTGTGGTATATGGTTGCTGCTGGTCATTCTCTTAACTGCTAATAAAGAGGGACATGAGTTCCCCAAAAGCCAGATGACTGAATAAAGAAGTTTATGCACCCATGAAGTAATAATGGTAGTATACCTTACTAACAAATATAAGAACTTCTTAATTGTTCTGAAAAGACAGTGAATAGTAAGGTTTTTTGTTTTCCTTTTGAATTATTGTCTTGGGTCCTGTTGTCACAGTCTGCTTCATTTGGGATGCTTTTGTTTTTACCAGAGAAAGCTTTAGTCCACTTCTGCAATAAAACACAAACATTCTGAAAGCTTAATTTATTGAAGATCTGGAACTTGGCGGATGCCTAAAGGCATCTCTGTTCATTTGAATCCTCTGATAAAAATCTCTTTGAAATGAATATGTGGCTTAAAACAAGCTTATTTATCAGCATCACAAATTACTGTACAGAAATTCAGGGCCATGTATTTAAGAGGTCTCCACTGTATAAACTTATCTCCATATTGTCTCTCTTTTGAGAAGAAGAGTCCAAGTTTTTCAGTTCATACAATGTTGTAGCACCTTTACCTACAGCTTAGTCACATCTTGTGATAGTTGTATTTCCATAATTTATAAGTATAGCACATGTATTAAATTTTTGACTATTTTTACTTTTGTCCTATTTATTTCATTATTAAACTGAGAAGTTCCTTTGTCACTACTTATCAGAGCAAGATTCTTTTTTGATTTCCCAGTAGCATTAGGAAGATGCCAGGGCAATGCCCAAGCCACTCCTCATGCTGGGTGGGTGTGAATTCTTTCACAGTCTGGAGCTTACAGGAGCATTTCACAGAAGTGTTTTGTGTGTACAAGCTTGGTTTTGTTTTCTTCCAGCTTTGGAAGAGCAAAAATAAAACAGATGTACTTTATTTGAAGAATTTCATATATTCAACTTAGTATGTTGGGATAATCTTTTTATGTTTGCCCCACGTTGCTCGTTTATGTATTAACAATAGCAAAAAAAAATGTACAGTGATTTCAGCTATATTTAAGACAACTTTACTAGGCCTGTTATTTCACAGGGAATAAGGCTATGTAAGAAAGGAGGGGTGGATTAATTGCTTTGACTTTAACAGTTTAGTTGATCCTGTTAAAACTGTATCTCTCATAGCATTAAGTATGGATTAATTTTATCTTGCATGAGGTAATTAACCCAGAATTAAGGTTATTTTTCTTTTTTTTTTTCTCCTCTCTTTTCTTTGTCTTTGCACAAGTTCACCCAGTGTGTCATGATACTGTTGGTTTAATGGCTTGCTTTGGTGTGGATCTTTTTGGCTTTTTTATGACAGTGGTAACTGGGATGGACACAGGCTAGAGTTTGCTGGTTCCCAAGTGGTGGGTTCTTCAGCTAGCGCATGGGGATGAAGCTGTCCAGATGCAAAAGGAAGAAGCTCCTCAGTTACTTTATTTTCAAAGGAAAGATCACTTTGTATAGACCCTTCCTTCTCCTCTCAAGGGGGGATCTGTGCTTAATCCCCCTAGGATTCAAAGCACTTTTTGCTATGGACTTCTGAGTCTGGAAGGATCTGCTCCGCTGAAGGACCAGTGGAAAGTTCTGAAATGGAGCAGTAAAATTGTTGGATTTTTTTGCTCCAGAGGCCACTGAGGAAGACTGAGATATTTAATATAGCTTTGTGGTAGCCTGTGCTAGGGCTTTGGGAAGAGATTTGGCTGGCATTTCTAAGAACTGTTCAATCTGGAGTAGCAGCCATAATCCTTACCACTCCTCAGTGTTTACCACAAACCAACCTACTTCTTCCATGGGTGTAGCTGGCATCAGTCCCACAGAATAATGTTAGGATCCAGCATTTGCTCCTTCCTTCATTCAGAAATGAGCTATAGAAGAATGCAATTGTAATTTTTTTTTTTTCCTGTTACTTTTCTAAAAGAAGGGAGCAGATTTGGCAGGTGCAGGTTAATGTGGCTATGCTGTTTTGTTGTTTGGGTTTTTTGGTAACATTTAATGGGAAAATATAATTTTTGTTAACAGCACACATGCATTCTGTAGAGAGAAATGTAATGATAAAAAATAAGTAGTTCATAATGCAGTAAATATATAGTGCTAAATTGGCCAAACATGTTTACAGGCTGATACCTGATTTGAAGAAAAATAACAGGCTATCACCTACAACTATTTCTGCTTCTTTGATTAATGCTGTCAGAGTTGATACAATGATACTTTATACAAAAAGAAAGTGCGGATGAATAAAGACTTGATTTAAATGTAATGGAATACTATGATGATAAGTTTATTTTTAAAAAAGCCTTTACCTGCTGTAAACTTAACCATCTGGTATTCTGTAGCTGAGACCATATTAATGAACTGAAGACTATTCCACAACCTTTTCTCTTATGAAAAGTATTTTTCAAATTGTTCAAATGGGACCTACTAGCTCGATGATCCATATTTTTAATGTGTTTTGAATTCATGAATATGGTAAGATTTCTGCAGTGAAACTACTCAGAGTTAACTTTTTCTGTATATTGTCAAATTATTTTTGTCCATAGTGCAAGATACTATAGGATACTTGAAAATACTTGAAGATATTGTACATGTACTTCACATCTTTGTAGTTCATTTTTTCCCTAGAGATTGGCTGTTAAACTAAGATAAAGCATCAATACGTTACAAACCATATATTTTACTATGTGGGGAAATTGCTGGCTTGTTTTTTTTAAGGGCAGGTGTTGAAGTTTACATTATAATGACAAAACCAGGTACTATTTTCCTTAGTTATTTTTCCTGTGACATTTCAATCCGTTGGACATTAAATGTGAATTGGATATACAAAACAGTTTTACAGGTGTAGCTCATTTGCTGAATTGCAATAAAATTTGTCTTCTAACATGAAAAATAGCATTAATGTGCTATTTTCAAAAGCCTCTTATTATGATTTGGTTAATCATGTTTTCTTCTTTACCTGACTGCAGGTACATATGACATTTTAGTGTCTGATTTCAGGAGACCTTTTTTGTGCAGTTTTGTATCTGACCTGTTCAACTAAATGCCTGCCTCTGTCCCAGCACCAGTGTAGCCTTCTCGCAAGCAATTGTTGTCGGTCAGACTGCCATCATTGGAAGAGATGCCTCCTACTCAGTAATCAGGGAATGGGGAGAACAGGAAGGCAAAGGGACTAATGCAGATCTTGGAAAGCATCTGTGAGTACATGTGCACATATGTGCTGACATTTATATTAGCTTTTTTCCTACCTCAGAACAACTTTGGATCCTAATAACCAAGTTTGGTGGAGGTCTCTAAATTTTACGTTCTGAAAAATACGGTTGGTCACTTCTATGAACTGTGTACTTGACCTTTCTCTTTATGTGAGAGGATGGGTACAGAGAAGTGGGAATTGTTGGAAATGTAACTATGTGATGCTTCAAATATAAGGTTAAGTGAGAACATTGCACTGTCCTCCATCTCTGAGATTCTGACAACATCTGTGGGACACATGCTTGCCTGAGCATTATTGCTTATATTGCTTGTTTCCTACTTTTTTTACTCAATCTTTGCCCAGGGTAAGATCTAACTTGACAGATAGTCCCAGAGCAAGAATAACTGGGTGGGAGGGATTGTACTGGCACAGTTCCAAAAGAATGGTTCCTTCCCACTCCATTCATTCACTTTTTGAATTATTTGAAGTACATACCAATATAGTGGAGCCCTGTAAAATCTTGGTTTATGAGATACTGCTCTGCTTATCTCACCTTGAAACTGGTTCTGCCTGGTTTCTTGGGGGGAACTACGTCAGTCTTCCTGAGCTGGCAGTGATTCTGCACTAGTGACAGCTGCTGGTGTCATCCTGTGGGTTCCCTGGGAAGATGCTGGGAGAGTGAACTCAGCCTGCCCTGTGCTCTGATGCGGTAGTGCTGGTGGCCTGAGCCTTCCATGGGTCTGGGGGATGCAGTTGTGAACTCGGTACCTGTTGCCAGGCGTTCCACGCTTGTGAGAGATGCCAAACCTGCCTCTCTTGGTAACGGAGACCATCTCAATTCCCTAGGCTTATTAGACCTGCTGCTTCTAATTCCTCTGCAGGGCACTACAGCGATGGACATGGGGCAGGCCTGGATGGAGCTGTGAGGTATGTGCAGCTTCAGAAACACATTCCCTTTGTCACAGATGGCCTCGAATCTTTGAGACTTCCTGCAAGGGCAAGGAACATAAAGAACAAGGGCCTCGGTGACCAACGTGTGTTGTGCAACTGCTGGGTTCACAGAACTTTTCCAAATGTCAGGTCTGAGCTGGTTTTAGAGAAGGTGATGGTTATTAATGTCTGTTGGAGAGGCAAGTTGGAGTGCTAGGCAGTGATTGTGGACTAACTGGTCTAAACAAATGGGTCTAGAAATGTCCTTGTGTTATGATTTGTTGTAGTGATGACTGGGAAAGTTCTCACAAAGAAATACAAATGTCAGAGGGCTGCACCAAGCAGGTCTTTGTCTCAAAGAAAAAAATTATTTTTTCCCTCTATTAACTCAAAGATGTATATTCATTAACAGAACATACTGTGTTCAGTCCTGCAATAAACAGGAAC